GATTTTTATGCAGGGCTGGGCCCCACCTCACATGTGTCGCACAGTTACTTAGGCACACATTTCACGAATGAACGTCTTATAAGGCCAACACTTACCCTCTTCCCACCAGACCTCAACCTCTGTGACTTTTGGCTATGGGGTTATCTCAAAAGCACTGTTTATGGTGATAATCTAAACAATTTGGCAGAAATGAAAAATCTGATACGCTGACATGTCCGTAACATGCCTCCTGTTATGCTAAGAGCTGCTGTTGAGAATGCAGTAACAGGATTTAACTTACTTTCGGAAAATGCTGGACGCTATATTCAACATGCTTTGTAACACGTTTCGGAAAATATTAAACACATTTTAAACAGATGTTTTCGTGTGTCTTATTTCATTTAACAATATTGTATACAGCGCCATTTTTCCCCTGGTGGTGAGTTTTTGAACTCTTTTTTTTCCTGCGGAAAATAAATTCCCATAACCTCCTTTACACGATTCCCAAGTTTGATAACATTTGGTCCGGTAGTTTTCCTTTTATGACCATTTCAAATTGAAACTTTAATTATAACCACCATGTAAATTAAACTTTAAAAGTTTGACAGTTTGGTTCAAGTCCCAGCTTTAAAAATATATATATAAATATAATCTTTTATATTAATCCTCTTAGAAAGAATGTTTTAAGGAGCTATTTTTTCTCTCGCGTTATAGATTGTATAAAAAAAACATTGATCTTTAATATGATTTAGATTGTTTCAGCCGCCGATATAAGAATCGCGTCACTCGGTGGTATACAGAATAAACCCTGCTGGACTGTTTTATTTCTTTGTCATTTAGCAAAAATCTTTTTAATTAAATATTTATCCTTTGGACTTTGCTTTAAACTTTATTTATAGTTAAAATGACTAGAAAATGAAAAGCTGTCTTCAGCTGAAACGCAATTCATGTAATTGATATTTTAAAAAATTGACAAGAATGCAAAATTTATGGAAATCTAGCAATCGAAAAATCTTAATTTTCTTGTGTGAGCACTGAAAATAACTGTAGAAGGAAAGAAGAAAATTAGGGAGAAAAGTAAGCAAAAATTTGCAGGGAAAATTTGGCTGTCAGACATACCAAGATGTTTCAAAAAGTTGGACGCTTTTGAATATACTTTCAGGATACTTCAAAGAATTTAGGCATTCAAAGAGAAAACACTTGGACGTGTACACCAGCAAATACCATCAATTGAGCTTGTGTAACAGAAAAGACAAAAAAACGATATCATTGCAGATTAAAGTGAAGAGACTGGTTTTAGACTATATGGTTGTATAAATTAAATTACGTTATAGAACATCATATCGTATCATAAATGGAGAATCCCATGATTTTCTCAGTCGAATTATTTGAAGATTCAGGAGTTTATCCAGTATTGTATGTGGATGTTACCTAAAGGCGTTTTTTTTCCTCCTGATGAAACAGCGGCCGAGCGGTAAAGTCGCTGAACACTGGTAGTTCGGTCCGAGGTTCGAATCCCGCGAACGGGCTGGCTGCATGGGCGTTTTCGTGGTTTTCCCCATGTGTAACGTGTATGCGAGCCAGTTTCCCTTAGAAAGTCCTCCACGAAGGCATGACTCCCCTTAGGCAGATAGCCCTAGTGTGCTTTGTCATAATTAAATAAACCAAAACCTCTTGATGAAACCAGTCTTTCCTTTCATCTCATACCTTCAAAGTGCTTAGCCTCTAAAGACTGATAAAGGCTCTGACGAAATACTTTGTGAAGGGCTTTCTAAGGGAAACCAGCTGTCATACACGGTACACATGAGAAAATCCACGAAAACGCCCATTCAACCAGCCCGTTTACCGGGATTCGAACCCCGAAGTTAACTACCAGTGTTCAGCGACTTTACCGCTCGGCCGTTTGTGGGCCTTTATGAAATGGAAGGCGGTAACTTTATTCAAAATGATTGTCAGAAATATCAAGATTATTTCGAAAAGTTGGATGCTTTTTAATATACTTGCAGAATGCCTAAGGAAAAAGACCAAGAATAAAGTGGATTGCCTGAAGAAAAAGAGAAGAAAAAATAAATTTTTGCGTAAAACTTAGTATTAGTATTTTTTTAAATTTAAAACCTTTTAATCTTATGATATTTGATTCTTGCGATTTCAAAAATAAAATATTTTTCTAAAATATGAATAACATTTTAAGAAACCAAATGTAGGATAAAATTGTGTAAAGCAATGGGCACAATGATAAAACTGTTTAAAGCAATGTCTGCAAGTCATCCTAAGTTAAAATGTCGGTTATACATCTCTCTTATTTATATATAGCTTTTCTGAACGGAACATTGAAAGGCGTGTTTACGTGCTTTACTGTATTTTCTTTTTTAATATATGCAGTTTTCAAACGCATCGTAGTCTGGGTTGCAAAGTATTCTTCCGATAGAAACGCAATTCAAATATAAAATCAAATTCTGGAAAATTTATATTAATAAATATATGAACTGAGCATTTTAAATATTATATTTAAAATGCTCAGTTCGAAGGAATAAATTGAAAATTTTAAAACAATTATCTGAAGAGACAATGCAACACAAAAAATTAAAATAAAAGTATAAAAATTTAAAAATTACCTAAAATAATAACTATGACAAAAATATATATATATAGAAAACTATTTGATAAAAAATAAACGCTGCACCTTTATTTACGCAGTTCGAATAGGTAAATAGAAATTTTTAAAACAATTATTCGAGAAAAAAACATGCAACTTAAACAATTAAAATGAAATTCGAAAAAGAAAAATTACTTAAAATAATAAGTTATAATTAAAAATATAATATAAAGAATATTATTCGGAAAAAAGGAATGATGGTGACTTTTTTTCCTCTCACTGGAAAGGAAACTAGGTTGCCATATATTAAGAAGTTCGCCAAGTGAACTATTCTTTTGCGCAAAGTGAAGAAAAAGTACCAACATAAATTTGTGAATTTCTCCGTAAATTTCGCTCCAAATTTTACAAAATTTTTATTTAGGCGTAATTTGAGTTGTAGAATCGAAATATGGAAAAAAATTGGTATGTTATTTCAGAAAAAGTCCAATTTTGTGTCAAAATATCTATGTTGGAATAGTGCTATATATAAATCTAATATATATCCTAAGTCGCGCTTTCGAGACATGAAGATCGCAATTTGAATTTTGTCAATCGGCCAGTAGAACGGGAGATATCGAACTATCCTTTTTTTTTTTTTTTTTTAAAGCAGTATACATGCTTATTTACCTCTATCACCTGAAAGCCAGTTCCCATGTTTGCATCAGAGCTATGAATAGAATCTGATCCTTTACAAACAGAAGTATCCTGGTTTAGAATCGCCCATTTGGCAACCCTGCCTTCCCTTGCCATTTTCTGGTAACTCTAAACCCGCTTTGCTGTGAAGCTATCTTACCGCAGCTGCACATTTCGTAACAATATAGAAGTGTTTGCTTCCTTTCATCTCGTCCCACCAGCAGCGGAGTATCAAAAACTGAATACTGGGAATTTTGCTGTTTTTCTGTATGCTGGGAGTTCTGATGGACTGTCTGACCCAGGTGCTGTCCTAGATGAACAGACTATTTGTTTTATTGTTTTTTTTTTGGTTTTCCCCATGAGTAACATGAATACGAGCCAGTTTACCACAGGAATTTCTACTCGAAAAAAAGGCCACGTAGTAGACGTGAGACACGTAGAAGTACCCAGTAGATAGAACGGTTGAAATGGAAACGCTCTGTATAACAGCTGCATTAATTTGAAGTCTGCAATAATCTTTGTATAAGTTACATTAATATTTGTATAAGAGTTGAATTAATCTTGAAATCTGCGTTAATTTTTGTAAAAACTAAACTCAGTGGCGCAAACGCCCTAGTGGGCCACTGCTGCAGTGCCCTTTTTCTGCTTTCATGACCTTTGGGTCCAGGGGGGGGGCATCAGCATATGTCCTGGGCAAGTGGTCAGCTTGTCACAGGACCTCCGATGTTTAGTCCCCAAGCGAACTTGGTACTCATTTTTATCGACCCATTTAAAGGATGAAAGACTGAGTCAACCTTGCCCAGCCTGGGGACCAGTGATCAGACTGAGTCAACATTGCCGAGCCCAGGGACAAGTGGTGCAGTTGCGCGACGAGCTAGCCACTTCATCACCGGGCAGTCAATCTTTGTATAAGAGTTGAATTAATCTTTGTGTAAGAGTTGCATTAATCTTTGTATATGCTGCATTAATCTTTCTATAACAGTTGCATTAATCTTTGTATGAGAGTTGCATTAATCTTGAAATCTGCATTAATCTTTGTATGAGAGTTGCATTAATCTTGAAACCTGCATTAATCTTTGTATAAGGTATTTTACCCGTCCTTTCCGCATGCCTTCGTGATGTAACAGTAGCCTTTACACAGCCTTTAGCAGCAGACTCAGCGCATATTCGAGAGGTCCAGGTTTAAGTCCCGGCGAGAGCATTGCACATTTTTCAAGCTTCCTGCTTCAAAATATCCTAATGACTCTACAGTATCGCCCGAACTAAAAGTTGCTGGATGATGATTCTTCACCCCCAGGATTTGGTGATCGGGTTCCCTAATCCCCTGCCGCCCTTTAAAAGGAAGGGGGTGTATTAGGTATTTCCTCCCTCCTTTCCGCATGCCTTCGTGGTTGTAACAGTAGCACACTCGACGCATATTCGAGAGTTCCAGGTGAGTCCTGGCGAGGGCACTGCACATTTTTCACGTTTCCTGATTCAAATTAGCCAAATGAAGCTACAAGTTGTATTACGCTTTGTGTAAGAGTTATCTCACACAAAGAGTTATATTATACTTTCAGATTTCATGTATATGTAGAGAGTTATATTATACATGAAATCTGTATGTATCTTTGCATAAGTAGCATTAATCTTATTGTGTTGCATATTAATCTTATTAGAGTTGCATATTAATCTGTATTAATTTTATGAATAAACACTGTTTATGTGCACTTCTTGATATTATCATTGTAACATTGTTTCTTTTTCCCTATAGCGCTTAGAATCGAACGTGTGGAGGCAAGCGAAACAATGCCTATCGCTGAGGGCACGGAATTGGTGCTAGCCTGTATCATTCAAGGCTCCAGCGAGATGCGAGTAGAATGGTTAAGAGATGGCTTTCCTATACACATACATACAGCAGAAAGAAGTATGTGGACCACTATCGTCCCAAAGAATTCACAAGACCAATATACAGTGCTACTTGGTTTTGATCGAGTTGCGAGCTTGGACACGGGTAAGTTAATACCCTTTATTATGTCTTTTTTGTCGCTCACCTCTTTAAGTCAAATTACTTTGTGGAGTAACTGCTAACAATGTAGATTGGCATAAGTGATATGTATGAATTACAGCAAACGTAATCTATGTGAGGTTGCAGTGGTGTTATATGGTAAGCCGTATTTCTAATCAGTGGCAATGGTCAGCAGTTGATTCTGAACTACCGAACATAGAAAGTTCTAGAACTAGAGCAGAGTGCCATTAGACAGCCAGATCGCATGACAAAAACACTTGCACCTCCGTCATAAAATCTTCGAAAACAAACTTCTTGGCACATTTCGAAGAGAAGTAATCCCTTCACATTCAGAGTAGGAATGTAAGAAGTGTCTGATTGCCAGAATCTTTCTATTCGATAAGATGTAGAAACTATTTGACACTTCTTACCAGGAAATATGAAGAATTAACTATACCCTGGTCGTAATTTCAACCATGGATCTTCTTCTTTGTTAGCTGAACTTGCTAACCACATACATCACGAAAATACGCCTAAGAAAATGGCGAAAATTCCTTAGAACGGGGCTTTGGAAAGGTTATCTACAAAAGCTTTCACTCGAGATCGGAATTACGTCTTTTATTTCAGTTAGTAGTTACCTAGCCATTTCAGACTCTACTGTTTCATGTTAATTCTGAAAATTAATAATCAATTCCTACTGACTTATTCTTTCCAACGGTATTAATACTATCAGACGATAAATATTTTAATATGCTTCACCAAAATTTCTCTTAACAAACATTACTTTTCATAGGTGTCTTTACGTGTCAAGTGAGTGACTGGGGTTTCGTTCGCAATCGAAGCATCTACGTCCGTGTTCTATCCGCCCCCCAGCCTCAGCTGAGTCCGATAACAGCCACCGTGCCTCTGGGTTCGTCCCACATCATCACGTGCCTCTCGAGTGAGGATATCTACCGTAATTTCGGATACACTTGGCTGAAAAATGGCCGAGTTCTCAATCCCAGTGTTGAACCTGAAATGGCCGAGGACCTCTTTCCCACAGGAAGCAGGATCCTTCTTCAGGAGGCCGCAGCTTCTGCTACATACTCCTGTATTATCACCAGCTCAGCGGGATCTACTAGAAAAGACAGCTTCGTGACTGTCATCGACAAAGCACGTGAGTGTTGAGTTTTATTTTTCCGAAATAATATACCATATATCTCTGTATATAAACGTAGAAAATTTAGTAATTTTTTTAATAATACAGTAGACTTCGATCAACTGTGATCACATTTGTCCATGGCTGTTTTGATAACATTGAGCGATCAGAAAAGATATAGTTCAAAACAGCAACGAAGGTTAATTAATTTTAATATAAATATGATTAAAATATATAAATAGGTACTTCCACTGCATTTTAATTAGGAGCATGCAAAAGTTTGTTTTTGAACTAACTGTTCATGATATCTTTAAAAAAATGTTTCCTTTATGAACTGTTCACAATATTTCTGGGCTCACCAGCGGCCGAGCGGTAAAGTCGCTGAACACTGGTATTTCGGTCCGAGACTCGAATCCCGCAAACGTGCTGGCTGCATGAGCGTTTTCGTGGTTTTCCCCATGTGTAACGTGTATACGAGCCAGTTTCCCTTAGAAAGTCCTCCACGAAGGAATTCCTCCCCTTAGGCATATAGTCCTCGAGGCTTTGCCATAATCACACACACACAACATTTCTGGAAATTATTTCACTGATGTTGTACACCTAATCTTAATATTTCGAAAGTATCCTCACTGGCAGAGAACATCACAATGTAAAATTTAAATTAAGTTAGAAAAGCGACCTTAGATTGTCCTAGTTTTTTTTTTTTTTTTCAGGCACCTGTTTTGTTTTAATCTAAGATCTAACAATTTATGTGAATGTTCAAAAAGAGTGAGTGAGTGAGTCAGTGCACCGCTATGATGGCTTCCGACCACGGGCATGAACCAAACGGAATTATATATCATCACGGCGAGGAAGACTCCAAAGTAACAAGGTTGAATATTACATTCTAATAAGAGTTTTTACATATTGATAACTGCAAGGCACTAAGCGTTATTCTGGTTATCTGCTTTAAGTTCTGAACATTTGAAATATAATATTATCCACGGTTGTTTCTGCTTAGGCAGTGTCTTGAGATTTTCTCTATTTTATCAAGGGCTATTCTGTTTTTGAGTGTGTTAGACGTCCACATTGCCCAGGCACGTGTCGCCTTCCTCTCCGCATTCGCAGAAAGGAGTATCCCTAAGTCTGAATCTATTCAGGTATACTGGGAATGGTCCATGACCTGTCAAGAACTGTGTTAGACTAGCACAGTGGGTCTTTATTTTCATGTTAACTTTTGGCAGTAAGCGAAATGTCCTTCGTTCTACCTCTGCCTCTGTCCATCTACTTTGCCAATTTTGTAGCAAACTTGTCAAAGTTGTTCGCTTAATATGAGACCAAGGAAGTTTAGTTGGTCTTTCTAATATATCCGTGCAGTTGGCTGCCTGCTTGGCCAGTAGGTCAGCAGCTTCACTGCCTTGAATCCCTGTGTGAGCGGGAACTCATTTTAAAGTGGGTCTTTGCGAAATAGGCATTGTCAAAAGCTGTTTCTGAATTCGGTATACCAAAAGACTCCGGCTGTTTTGACTTGCAATAGCCGCCAGACTTGATGCCGAATCACTGAATATGGAGAATTTCTTCTGTTGACATGTGTTCGCATATCTAATTGCAGCACTAATAGCTAGAAGCTCTGCTTGGTATACCGAGTTGTTCAAGCCTAGTTTCCTTTTCCACTCGAATGTTACAACTCCATTTTCTAGTCTACAGAAGGCGCTGCCCGTACTGTTCTCAGTTTTGGAGCCATCTGTGAAAAGGTTATTACTGTTCCTCTGAATTGGTTGGTCGTTTATGCTGATACCGTCGGAGAGATTAAAAGCTGCTGGATGAAAGTTATGACAGTTGTTTTGCTCCTCATAGTCCGAGTGTGGATAACTATGACCCCAGAGTGTTGAAGTTTGACCCAGCCTGGTAACCCCTTACGATAGCTGCCTCTCTTTCTACTATCAAATCTAGGGAAGGAATTCCTGCTAGTTGTTGTAGGGCTAGTGTTGACGTGGTACGGTAGGCCCTGCATACTTGAAGTAGCTGCTGTCTCTGAATAGAGAGCAGGGATCTTTTATATGAGAGGTAAGTTCGCCACCCCAGATTGCTGCTCCGTAAGTTATTACTCTTTCTGTAATGGTTCTATGCCAAATTTTTAGTAGCTTAGATGAGATACCCCATTTATGTGAAGTCATGCCTCTCATGTTGTTGCTTAGGATGCTAATTCAAGTCTTAAGATTCATGACATGTGGCATCCAAGAAAGTCTGTTGTCGAGTAATAGCCCAAGATATTTCAATTGGAGGAAACATTTTACCGGTATCCCATGGAGTTTAATGCTTGGGTTGCGTCTTAGCTGCCTGCTGCGTCCTATGAGTAAAGCTTTAGTTTTCTCTGCCGAAATCTGAAGCTTATGTGCTCTGGCCCATTGGGAGAACAGATCAAGACAATATTGAGATCTCATTTCGAGGTTACTCCTTCCTGCCACAACTAACATAAAATCGTCGTCCGCATAGGCTATGATTCGAGCGTATTCTACGCTCTCGAAACTGACGAAATGCCGAGTCTTGCCACTATATTTCCACAGTGTTGGTCCAAGGCATGACCCCTGTGGGCACCCTCTATAGACATATTTGACATAAATGCCGCTGTCTGATGTTACCTTGTACACTTCGATCTTGAAGGTACGAGCGGAGGATGGTAATAATGGCTGTTGGGCATGCCATGTTGTGCAGCAAATTTATTACGTCTGGCCACCAAAGGGAGTCAAAGGCTCCCTTGATGTCAATGGCTATTGCCAGTGAGTGCAAATTGTTATCCTTGTTCTGTTTCATAGTGGCCGTTAAGTCTTTTATGGCATGCTCAGTTGAGTTGCCCATTCGGAATCCATATTGGTTGAGATGCAGGGCGTTGTTCCTTTGCAGGAAGAAGTCCAGTCCGTAAAGAATTTACTCTTTGTTCAAAAAGAGTGCCTCAGGATGTGGAACATTTGATTTTCTCATGCCCTACATTTGATGGCCCTAGATTATGCTTACAGAACGATTTGAAAATGTTCGTAGTGTTAATCTAAGATCTAACAATTTATGAACCAGTGAACTTATCTGTTTTCGTGAAGTCCAGACTGCTGTTCTCTGTTTTTGTTCGTTTTATTTATGCATGCACCTTTTAATGTTTTAGATAACTTACTTCTGTAAGCCCCGTATTGTACATATGTGTTGCACAGGAAGTCTATGTTTTCAAAGGGAAAAAAATTGTTTTCCGATGGAAAAGAAAAAGTATACAGTAGTGTTTTTGCTTCTGAAGAAGAAAGACTTGTTTCCTCAAAATCGTCCCCAAAAATCTATAGAATTATTCAAAATCTACGTCATACTTATTTATTTATTTTTTTATTTTTTCCATAATTTTAAATGGTTGACTGAAATCGAAACCAACTCTTTGGAGACTTAACCCTTCACTTGGCGACAATTCTTTGTCACTTGGCAATTTTTATAATATATGTTGATCTTAACTGGTGAATTTATCATTCATTTGGCGACTTTATTTTAACAAAAAAAAATGTCTTGTGTAATAGTTTGATCATATTAAACGAACTGTTGATCACAGTACGCAACTTCTTTTCTATGTTTTTATACACAAACGGCGGAACTTCGGCAAACCGATAACAATATCTGAATGATAAAATGAACCTCGATCTTATTAAGCGACGTCTGCTGTAATTTGAATATCGGCTTATATACGAATTCAAGAGGATTGACGAATTAATTCATTGATATGAATGAATAATTTTTAAAATAGTAATAATTAAAATAGCTGAAATTAAGTAAAAAACAAATCATTTTTCATTTTATTTAACCCTATTGTATATTCATGAAGCTTAATACTTTTATCCGAATAGAAATTTGCTAAAATTTCTTTGAAATATCAGCTCTATTCCAGTTAGATTAATCAAGGATCTCCTACCATGACTGTATAGTGGTTAGCAATTCTGGCTGACATGTCGTTGTATTGTGTCCGAAGTCGAATCCTATTGCCCACCAGCGGCCGAGCGGTAAAGTCGCTGAACACTGGTAGTTCGGTCCGAGGTTCGAATCCCGTGAACGGGCTGGCTGCATGGGTGTTTTCATGGTTTTCCCCATGTGTAACGTGTATACGAGCCAGTTCCCCTTAGAAAGTCCTCCACGAAGGCATCCCTCCCTTAGGCAGATAGCCCTCGAGGCTTTTTCGTAATTAAATAATATAACCTAACCTAACAAGATTCGAATCCCGGAGAAGGCATAAATCTTTGTAAATGCATAGCGTTTGTACGACATGGGGCACTTAAGTCACTGGTTAATTGAAAGTTCTCTAGAATGGCTTATACATAAAGGAAGAGATGTTAAATACTCTCGGATCCATCCCCTGTGGCGTTATCCATTAAAACTGGAACAGAGCTGTACAGTTAGTGCAGTGGTACTATACCTGTACGATCAGGGGTAAATTTCTCATGTTCCATCCTCTTCTCCTGTACCTGTAGCCCGTTTTCCCTACCTTTAACTTCTTGAGGAGACATTCGGCTGGACGAATTTTTAATGCCTCCATGCCACAACGGTACTATACATTCACAAACATCCATGCCTTCTCCGGGTTCGAACGCGGAAGCAACGACATTCGCTAACCGCCATACCTACTAGGGCGCCTTCAACTTCTCAATAAATTAGCTAGTTGATTACAAAAATAACGATTCCAACTGCATATTATTACAGCAGACGATGAAATATGTCAAACCCAAATCTAGTATTTTTCGTAGCTCTGAGTAGAATGCACGTTTCACAATGAATGATTAACTATAGCATGCATTTTTCTGAAATGACATTTTAACCGCTAATGCAAGCTTTCTAACCGGTTTTGACAACCAGACGTAAAAAAAGCAAATAATCAAAAATGAAACAAATTCGAAATTAAATCACATTTTGTTAATCTTGAAGCCTGAAATACTTCCTTCAAGATTGGTTTCTAAGAATTATGTTATAGAATTTATCAGTCGGTCTTCCATGCGTCATATATTATCATTAAGTGTATC